AAGTGCTATAACATACAGTATATCCTAAAGAAACAATTGGGAACTGGGGCTTTACTATTTGTTATGCATTTACTTAAAATCTTGCTTGAGCTACGTACTTTTCATACATTTCTTGAAAGCAAGACATCCAGAAATTAGAATCATCACTTATGGGTTTCACAAAACACTTTGGAGATGAATGCTCACTTTGTGTGAAAAAGAGAAAAAAGGGAAGTGTTTGTTTAAAATATCTAATTCCTAATAATGATTTTGTTTAATAAAAGCAAATGCTCTGGAAATGTATGTGGTAGATATAAACTTGCAAGTGCATAAGCATTTTAACTGTTAATCATTCACTGTGGAATTAAAAAGTAAGTAAGTAGTCTTTATGGTTTAGAATAGACTTTCAAATGCAAATGTTCAATTATTAAATTAATAGACACAGATCAACCTCATAGTATGTTGATAGATTTTTGTTTTCTAGCCTATTTTTCCTATCACATTTTTCTTTTCACCGTCCATTCAATCAGAATGACCCATCACTGTATCCCTCTCCTCTGTGGACCAATAAGGAACCTCTAGAGTTCCCTCAGTCATTACCCAGCCTGTCAGTCTTCTCTTCCTGACTCACACATTGACAAAATCCCCATGGCCCAGCATGCTGGAGCTGGCTGACCTTTTCCTCCTGAAATGCTCTCACATGTGCACAATAACTCTTTTCCTCGCATTCACACCCATGGGGAAGGAGAGGTGCTGAAGGTCACACTAGGGCTCAAAGTCCACGTAAGGGACCGGAAGGGCAAAGAGTGAAAATGCAAACTATTCWCCCAAATGTACTTACTTTACTGGGCAGCCTGACTCTGAATGGTGGGCTTCACACTGGGAGACTGAACACTTGTGGTGTTCCTACCCTCAGGCAAGTATTGAGAACAGAACAAGACAGAGAAATTGGAGAGAGGAGGGGTGWAAGACAGAGGAATCGTTTGCAATGCATCCCAGTTCTGGCATATTARGAACTCTGAAGGAAGAGGCTGGAGGAGATGGGGGGTGGGGGGGATATAGCATGGGGACCCCCTGCTGACAGAGCCAGGGATTGGATGATCCATCCGCAAGCTAATCAGGCTGATTTGGAGCGTACAGAGACCTGTGCTTCTGACGCTGCTGAGAAGCACTTAAGCTACAGCTTCTGCCGCTCTAGACTGGCTTGATTTAAGCTACTCTGGCAGTGGTCTTATCAGGACCCACAGTATTAAAGAGATTCTTACTGGGATGATCTCAGCGGCCCCCCTACTGCGTTCTAGGGCACCCAGAAAAAAAAAAAAATCAAGCTAAGCTGCTACATTATGTTTCAACCTACAGAGGAAGCTTTGAATGTGCTGCTGACGCTGAGATAATTATGAAGACAAAAATAGGACGACCGAAGCTGGTTTTAATGGCACTGGCAAACGCTGCAGCTGAAAACAGAAACTAAAGAACATTTTAACTTTGTGCATGGGAAATATAATAAGGATGTGTTTTCAGGGAGGAAAAAGTAGTAAGATTTTTCTCATGAGTGCAAAATGAGGAAAATGTCTTGAGCAAAGGGTCTAACTAGAAAACATCTGACGGAGAGAGAGAAAAAAAGATGACTTGAATGATTGAAATCAGAAAGAAAAGTAACAGGCTGCACAGACCATAGGGATCTGTTCAAGATAATCAGTGGGGAGCTTTTGTGAAGATTGCTTGGGGGAAATGTAAGGTCTCAAGGTAGAAGCAGATGCTGTAGTTGAGAGAAAATTTACTAATTCACCAAAGAGCATTGTAATATGCCATGGGAGAACATGGAGAACTTGGAATGAAAAATAGATGCTTTCCATTTACAACACAAATTAAATGTGTGTCTGCCACAGTGATATATAGCACTTATTTAAGAAAATAAAACCAAATCCTTATCTAAGGATTTAGAGTTTAGAAGTTTTAGATGTGACGTCTATGCAGCCATGAAAACAACAAAGTGGCCGTGAACCCACTCATGAAGCCAATTAACTAAATTTGTTTGTTAATAAATGGGAAATTCATTAACAGATATTAAGCAATTCCTCCAGGTCAGCTGTTAAGACAGGAACAGATAAATTATGTACTTCTGAGCATCAGCATAATAAAAAAGAAAGAAAACRTGGAAAGCAAACTTTTTTGGAGGTTTTGTTCTGTGTAACTGTGTGTCAGTTGGGACAGCTGGAATGCTTAGCATATTGCTTTTACATCATATTAAGATAACTATGATGCTGTGTGAGGCCTTATTGGATCTCCAGCGGATAACGGCAGGACAATGTTGAAGCTTCACAGCATCAGCCTGAGTAAGCAGGACTTCAGGGGATGATAACAGACAGAGAGAAAAAGGGGGAAGAAAGAAGACAAAGTTAAATTAAAATAGGAGACATCTGAAGGGAAATGGCKAAGAAGCGCATCGGAACAGTGATGGAGATGCAAACACAAAAAATGCGGTTATTAGAATCATGTTCAAAGGACAGTTGTGGTTTAGATACCTGCTTATTTCATTCAAACACCTGGTAAGTTGATAACAAAAAAAGAAAAGCTTGATGTGTATAATACCGTGTAATCCTGCAGTGTTAGAATATTTGCTTGTGTGCAACATTTGGCCTGCTGTACTCACTGGTGCAGTGTTCATCTGGCTGATCGCCGTCCCCGCGGTAATAACCATTGCGGCACACACAAACGGTGGCGGCCTCAGCTGTGGAGCGGCTGTTAGAAGGGCACTGGAGACACAGACCTGGACCTTGGGTTGACTTGAAGGTACCCGGTGGGCATGCTGCAACAAGAACAGGCCATTGTTAGAAAATAAATGAAAAAAAAAAAAGCATTTATGAGCAGAATCGCACTCATCAAGTCAAGCATCAGGGACTCGCAAATAAATCTGCAAACGTGATGGGAAGATATAAAACCTGAGTAAGATGGAAAATAGTCCAGGATCAATTTTAATAGTTTAGGGCTATTGATGTCTTATAACGGCAAAAAAAAAAAAAATGCACATTTAGCACTTTTGTACCTATTTGGCAACTGAGACATTAAGGAGCTTTAAAGGGAAACTGATATTGGGTAAAAAAAAGTTCTCACCAACTCTATGTTGTCAAAATGTCAAATTTGTTCTTTCATATTGAACCTAGATTTGAATAAAATTGCCTTATTACTTTCCACAGGCCCTAACATAGTACTTTTTAAATATAACACTAAGTTTTACCATTAATATTATCATCAGGAAGCCTCTACAAAGTAGGAACAACTTAGATTGCCTTTCTCATACTACACTACAAACTGCTTCCACACAAGTATATCTGACTCCACACATTTCACACAAATGTAAAACATACTGGGGAAAATTCAGGATAAATACATGCATATTGGGCATATATCACATAGGAGCAAAAACAAAACCTTTCCCTTAAGATTATTGGAGGATCTGCTTCACCTTCCAAGCTTTGGCTAAAATTCCTCATGCACCTTTAACAATACAGSCAGAGTAACAGCATTAGCTGTGATAACAAGAACATAGAGTGCTGCTGCAGCCTAGGTGGCACTCATTTATGGAAGTTGTCATGATGTGTCAAAGTCTTAAATTTGAAAGCTGCTGCAGAGGACAAAGATTATTGTGGCTGATATYGCTGTCCCTAAGTGAAGGCAATAACATAATCCATTTACTCATGCCTCAAAAAAGAAAAAAAAAAAGTAACACAAAGCTGAGAAGATTCAGCACCGTGTGGAAGGATTTAATGACTATAATAACTATGATAAATGTCTGGTATTTTAGCAAGCTCACTGGTGGGGGAGAAAGCTGTACCATTGCTGCACTCTTAAGGGGGAAGGGTTATAAATTTAATGGGACAAGGCTGATTGATCACAACAGCTTGACTGTAGATGTAGAGTATGCTCATAATTGTGTAAAAACAGACGTTTTATTCCTTTTATAGCACAGTGCTTAAAAGGGAGAAACATTCTGAGGGATATGTAAGGAGCCGTGAAAAACAAACAAACAAGAAAGCTTCCTAAAAGGTTGAGAAACAAGACTTATCGTTTGCAGTAAGTGTTTCAGATAATAAAAAGATTAGTGATTTACTGAATAAGTACCAATTTTTCCTTTATTTTTTTTCTTTATTTTGTTTTATTTTATTTGGCATAGCAACACCGTCTGAGAGCCTTTTTGCTTGATACAAGAAGCTTGAATTTAGATATTTTTTTCTTCCTTTCCTTTTTTTACTGACCAAATTGTGAATGATGGAATATTTTATGTGAAAAAGAGCCTCGGTACCCCCATTAGGAATAGATACATAGATATAAATATTCAATGTATGCAATGCACCAAATTGTTTGGCAACTGCCATGCTGCTTTACCCGGTACTGGTGCATTTTTTAGCACAACACCTGTCACAAAATCGTGAAGGGATCCCTCCTCTTTTCCTCTGCAATTCCATTTCTGTATCTATAACAGGGTCTTTGAGTAAATAGAGTAAATGGATTACTATGTGGACATGCTAATTTATTAACCAAAATGTAACAAAAATGCAAAACTGTTAAACATCTTTAATCATGCTGCAAACATTAGTCTTTATTAGGATRGATGTGATGAATTAATGTTTATATTAGCACTGACTTCCCTCTATGATTCAATTTGATCTGCATTCAGCATGCATGCTTCAAAGACTCAGTTCAGTTTAGGTTACACATTTTAGCAACATAAGAATCACTTTGTTGCTGGATGGAATCATTTTGGGTTACAGTAAGTAATGTTGTTTGAGTAAACAGTGGAATAAGTATGAATTGTGAATAGCTTTCATTTCACTGGAATCCACTTTGCACATCCCAGAATGTTGAGTGTTTTTGTTAGTTGTCGCCTTTTTTTAGGGCATGTGTRAGCTGTGTGTGTGTTGAGAGTTGAGTGTTCTGGGTAGTATATTCAAAAAATAAAAAAAGAATGGAACAATTGTCAGTGATGTTGAAATTGTATTTTTGCTTGAAATGCCAAATCCCTAACACTCGTATGCTTAAAAGACTTTGATAAAACTTAACAAATAGGTATMTATGTTTCTAATACCTTTCTTTATACTATTCATACCAGCTTCCCCAGGCTTTATAAATAAACAGTGTAAAAAAAAGGTAAAAAGACAAAAAAAGAACAAGAGAAATTGCATTTCCTGTGAAAATACAATAAGAATGCCTATTTTTGAATAATTTAGCTGAAATCTGCTGAAGAAGTTCAAACACTTTTAAACATTGAACTATTAATGTTTGCTGAATTTTAACAGTTGAAGTGAAATTTAAAATTAGATGAACTATAGCTGAAATTTAACCCAAACTGTAAAAAAATTGAAGCTTCAAGGGGCACAGATGAAAAGGGTCAAAATACGCAGATAAAAAGTAAAAGGAGCAGAACTGTGGACATACATATTTCAAAATGTATGAATTCTTGATAGACAGATAGCTTTCAAGCCACTGTTTTTTATTTTTTTTATTTATTTATTTATTTATTTTTATTTTTTTTGTGGCTAACAGGCACACCAGAGGCTAACTGAATGACCTCATGTCTGGTCACAAAACTCTGTCGACACACAGCAAAACTGCCTCGTACAAATAGACATACATGACCAGACCAAAACAACCACAAACAGCTCATAAAATAGTGCACAGCTATGTTGTGGATATACTAGAACCATCGAGCAAAGACAACACTGGGTTTGTGGGCTACCATAAAACCTATAATGTTTCTATAAGCAAGAGGGGATATGTTTTTTAGTGCAGGAGTGGAAGCTTGCAAACTCTCTTGACTTTTACCACAGACTTCTCACGTAACAAGATCAAGCTCCACCTAATACAAGAACACCGAGACTCCTGAAAAAGTGCTCTGTTGTCATATGCGTGAGCACATACCAGCTGCAGAGTCACTTTGTGGGGCAATAACTTCCAACAATATCAGACATTACAAGACGATAAAACGAAGATCAAAAATGACTTTCCAGCAGGAGAGGAGGAGAGAACTTATGTGTCATCATATCCGAAGCATAAAAGGGGAAACAGAGAAGCMCTTGCATGCAGATGGGCAACTTACAAAGGCAAGACAGAAAGCTTCAGATGTGTTAAACTGGCTCGTTTGAAAATGGGTCACTATAGGTTGTTCACAGTGTGTTTAATGGGGTGTAAGCAGAATGTGTGCATTAGGTTTTGCCCTCGGGTTGTGTGTTTACAGACAGACTGCAGCTTCCCTGGACACCCATAAATGTGCAAAAAGTGAAGAGAAAAGCAGAGGAGGCTGTGCTGATTCAGCTGTCTGTGCTAGAAGGGCTGCAAATGGGTTTCAAAGCAAACTGTGYGCGAGCAAAGAAATGCACACAGCCTGATACTCATGTACACATTCTCAAAACGCACATATCCAGCCTAAAAACCCAGAGAAAGCAACAATGCTGGCATCAAAGAACGCATTTGGTGATTTACGCAGCAACACATGTAGCCACTGTTGACCCCATTAAACGAGATGGCGCGCCCACATTTTCCGCCACTTGATTAGAATGTGTTCAACAGAACCTGAGATAATTTAACGCCTCTCCTTGGAAAAGCGAGGATGGTGCGATCAGCATTACAGGAAGGGAGATAAGTGACAGCCAGGCAAAAGCAAAGTGGCAGCCACACACACACACACACACACACACACACACACACACACACACACACACACAC